AGCCAGTTCAACTGCACTGGATTGAATCCCATTGCAGTTGAACTGGAGGACGCAGAGGTGGGGGGGGGCAGCATGGGGAGAGGCCGGGGATGTGAGGGGGGAGGCCGGGGGGGGGGCGCGTATTAACGAGGTGGCCGAGGCTTGCAGTGTGACCGTGCCCCTCGGGGTGAGGAGTGTCTCGTATTTCAAATAATATTAACAATCACTCACAGGGTACCCGTGGCGAGGGCGTGGGGGAGAAGGAGCGAGATCGCGCCTTCAAGCTCCATTACTCCAAGAAGCAATACTACTTCCTGGCGCCCTCCAAGGAGGATTGTCTTAGGTGAGTCATAGCTCCAAGTGGGTCATTTCTCCAAATAAGACATTAATCCAAGTGGGTCATAAGGGGTCATTAACCCGATTAGGGTTGATCCTGTTTTTTTTATGTAAGAATATCAATATCAAGATTCTATGATGTGCTCTCGCAAGAAACTAACACAGGCGTGGTGTGCAGGTGGGTTGCGGCCCTACAGAGCGCCGCCCGCGCCGAGACCCTCGAGTCAACCTGACCCACTCCTGCCGAGGCGGTCGCTAGGATCACGTGCCTGTGATGTTCTCAGCCGCGCCCTTCTACCCACCTGAGTCACCTTAGAGTTCGGCCCGTGATGCCCTCAGGTCTCCGTGATGCCCTCAGGTCCCCGTGATGCCCTCAGGTCCCCGTGATGCCCTCAGGTCCCCGTGATGCCCTCAGGTCCCCGTGATGCCCTCAGGTCCCCGTGATGCCCTCAAGTCCCCGTGATGCCCTCAAGTCCCCGTGATGCCCTCAGGTCCCCGCGATGCCCCGTGACGTGGAAGAAGAGGTGAAGGTCCGACATTATCCCGGCGACCGTTGGCTTGAGTTTTGGGCAAGTTTCTGTTCATTGAGAATCGTGGAGCGAGTGTTTATCTATATTCGTGTTCACGAACTTCGAAGTGTTCAACACGCAAGTGTTCGTGGCAGGCGAGGTGTTCGTGTTGCGTGATGGACTGTTCTCGTCGCGCTGGCGCTCGTTGAATGTTCTTTGTTATTTATGTGTTCGACGTTGAGGTAGTTCTGAACATTTTGCACGTTATCCCCTGGAAATATGTTCATGTTTTGTTGAGTATATATGTATTTAATTGTAAATGGTACTGTTTAAACTATTTGCAATTATAGTTTAAAGCGTTTCGGTTAGAGTTTGTAACCGTTGCGGACGGAATAGCCCCCGGCCACGCTGGTCCGCCGCAGTCCTAGAGATGCCTGTACAAAACTGCATACTGTGCCATGCTTATACATTTTTGGGGGCTTTGTCGGCGAGTTGGAAATTCATTTCATTACTGGTTCATTGTTCATTCATTATATTGTTCATGTTTAGTCACTGAATTGTTTATTTATATGTCTCTTTAACTCTGAAGCTGTCTAGTCAGTAGCGAACCGTTCTTAGCTTCAGCAGCTCATGTGGTAAACCTGTAATTAATAACACACGTTTATTAAATCGTTAAATTTATTTATTCAAGTGAAATTAATAGGGTAAATGAAATTAAACCCTATGGCACAATGTTTGCGTATTTTCTCAAGATTATTGGCCACGCTAATACGCGTTTCGCTACTAGATTAATTATTATTGTTCCAAATAGAGTCAAAGGTTAATTAAGAAATGGATTGTTATTGTCTGTAAATGAAGAGGAAGCATCAAGTGCCAAAAAGGAAATTTGTTTCGGAATTCCCATTAAAGTCTTCCTAGTAAAATTTTTTATTCATTGATTTATAAATAATGTGTTATTTAATTTGTAATTGTACATTTATGTTCATGTACTAGCGTTTATATAATGAACTAATACAATAATGATGAATAACTTGACGCACAATACAAACAAAGGCAATATTCAGGCTTTGTGTTGACTAGCGATATGCATGTGTAATTTATACAAGTTAGGGTGCTGTGTTCATACAGAATTTATGAGTGTAGCAATATTGTGTGATCTGGGTAGATCCACGCTACGCAGAACACATTCAAGAGACTTTAACTGTTAGGGTGGTGATAATGTCCTAAAATTTTGTGTTCTCTTATTGTGATGACAAAACTTCAAGGCTAAATGCAGTACCAGTTTTGATTTTTTCCTAGTGTAAAATTTACACAATTCCGAAGTCCGTACGAAATTCGTATTTTTTTGTTATGATCGGTATACCGTATAATAATTATTTGTTTATTTGAATCTGTATTTATATTTCTTATTCTGAAATGTAAAAAATTCGGCGATGCCAAAATTATCGCGAAATTTTGCTGGCTCTCGTGAAGCACAAACAAAAATTGCACAATAAATAGGCTTAGTAATAGCCTACACTAGCCTAAATTCATTGGTTAAATGTTGACTCTTTCTGCCCGTAGCACAGATAACGCCGGGCCCAACTGCATCAGAATGACCCACTCAAGGGCAAAGCGTGCATGGCTGAGACAAAGTCTCACTCATTTATTTGAGTGTAGGTTATGGTGAGCTGCTCTAGCTTATGGTTCTGGGGCCATACTTTCAAAACTCGCTAAGTGATCGTAAGTACTTACGCTCTATTTTCTCGTCTATGATTGGTGGATTTTGCTTGCAAGGCCGTCAATGATTGGCTGATGAACTTATGACCTCTTAACTTTTTTAAAAGTATGGGCCCTGGGCCAGGATGACCCAAGTACACAAAGTAAAAAATAGTGCATCGCTTTTCGGACAAAGCCTAACTTATTTATTTGAATGTAGTTACGCTAGCTTATGGTATGGCACGCTAAGCTAGATAGCGCAATTTAGCGTCATGCGGCGCTAAGGTTCCTAAGCACAAAGCTTCATTAGCACTTATTATAAAATGATATATTAACTCGGGATATTTATTGCACATTTATATTAGAAGTATCGGTAAAATATTCAATTTTGAAGATCTCGCTATTCCTTAATCTCGTTACGATGTTTATTACATCGGTTTAATTAAACTTGGTTGCTGCTCTTTGAATTCGTGAAAATATTTCTACAACGAATATTATAATTTCTTGTGGATATTGTTCAAGTTCAGGACTATTGAACCTTGCCATATTGCGGCAGCGTAACGATGAATGAAGGTAAAGTGAGGAACGTGAATAAGTCTTCATCTCGTATTGTGCAGGATTAATTCATTTACTAATGAATCATTTACTAGTATCATTATTGTGCAGAGTATTCACCGTTGCCGGATTTAACAATTATCTCAACGAAAGAAATATAATTTGCCAGAAGATGTTGTATAAAATGCACGCATGTCATATTTCGAATCGTGTATAAAATTGTTACAACACTTTCATGGTTCAAAGCCAATGTGAGTTGTTATTCATTTCGTGAATGTGTTATTTTATGTGCATTTTATAATTGTATTTCTTATGATAGCGTACCTGACAGGCTGAATCACGCCCCTGCTATGTTGTACCGTGTTTCTGTACCACCATGCCAAAAAGTCAACACTTTCTGCTTTTGCTTATTTCCTTTATATTTATAGTCTTCTTTCTATTAGAGGTTCAGATAACCATGGGCAGCGCTACTTTGAAATGTAGTGGCCGCTACTGCTACATGCTCCAAGTGTAGCGGGTGCTACCGCTACCGCTACAATTGCTTAAATGTAGCGCCGCTACCGCTACCGCTGCAAGTGCTTAAATGTAGCGGCCGCGGCCGCTACCGCTACAATTGCTTAAATGTAGCGCCGCTACCGCTAACGCTACTGAAAATGTAGCGGCCGCTAGTAACGGCCGCTACTTGTAACGCGCTACTGCCCACCTCTATTCGTCTGTGACGTCACTGATCTGAGTGACATCATGTGCATTAATAAATCACCGAAATGCGATCAAATTAGTCAACCAATTTGTCATGGGAATGACGGGATTGTTTACGTTTTTCGATCTCAGTGACGTAACGAGAAAGCTGAACTGAAAGACGGATGTCCTCTTAATCAACCTTATATAGTTCAACCATGCGCAAAAATTAGCTTCTCATGGGTCAACCCTATACTAGTTCAACCACGGTTTCTATTGGAGGCCGGTGATTTTTGGTGCTGCTGGCGAGGTTATCGACATTGACGGTAGTACCATTCATCATATATTTGGCCTACTTTCGTAAGTTAGACTTGATGGGAGTATTCTCAGGCCTCTTAGCTCGAAGTCCTCTAACAAGGGAAATGTCAGCAAATAACATCATGATCGCATTAGTAAGTCATTTTTAATCCAGAGTCACATCATCAAAGCTGCCTTATGAATATCATAGAAATCTAAGCAACGAGTCGTATGTGACCTTCCCAGTGAGATAAAACTTGGAGAACAGTGAGCAACAGGTGAATCTCTTACCCCACTGAGATACAACTTAGCGAATTTAAGGCGATGAGTCCCTAGAAAATATAGATCGAAATATTCGCCATTTCGGAATGAAAAAATTGTCAAAATAAATACTTGAAAATGTTAGAAAGCTGCCTCTTTTTACTAAATGTCACCAATATTTGAATTTTTTATCCTTCTAGGATATCCGCAAGACGAACATATGCATTTTCTGCTTCTCTGATTACCCCACCCACCCTAGACAAATATCGAAATTGTAAAAAAAAGACGTCATGTGCTGTAAAAATGTGAAGGGCATAGTTATTATTTTTTTATGGACTATATAATCCCGGGCACCGCTAATTGCACACAATTTCTCAATTTTAAAGAGATAATATAAATTAATGACTGCCTGTGGTCTGTAGCTGTAGGCCTGTAGCGCCTGTAGTCTTAGGTATTATTTATGTAGATACCTACCTAGCCTAGCTATGCTAGAATTGAGATAGGTAGCCTGGTAGTGGTACTAGTAGCTAGGCTAGATATACTTCTGATACTGCCTAGTGGCCACAGGTAGGCTAGAAGCTAGTGAGGCCACAGACACAGGCCTACAGCCCGGCCCGAGCCAGGCCAGCTATCAAATTCAAATGATCAATCAATCATCATTATCATGATAATGGATTGGTCTGCAACTCTGCGTCTGCTACGAACTAATAACAATTAACTATAAATATTTCTATACTAATCTGAATCGTCATTCATCTCATTTCAGTTAAGCAGTTTTGTGTAGAATTTACTGTATTAATTTATTACCTTAGTGATTACTAATTTACTAAGTAAATGTGCTGTGCAGTGTCAGTGTGCACTAGTGTGCAGACTGCATCATGCCCATGGATGATAGCTAAGAAAACTCAAATTGAATCAGGAAACAGGAATAGCTTATCAAGTTATCAACATTTACTGATTTAGAAGTTAAACTGTGAACTTTTTCCCTTCATTTAGGCTTCATAAGGGACATAGGCCATAGCTCCCAGGCCACTGAGGCCAGTCTCAACTCTCATTTTTATCTATTTTACATGGAAAATATCTATAAATATACTTTCTGAAATGATGTGGATTGTGGAATCTGGGGCTGAGGTCTGAGCTAGTGCTACCTATAATTGAAAATTTTCAGAAATTTTTTGAGCCATTGAACAATTTGAACTATTTGTATTTGTCATTTGATTGTCCATCAAATTCTTCTGTCTGGTGTCAATTCACTTGACCTGATACTGATAGACTGATAGACAGTAAGACAGACCACTATGCAGAGGGTGGATGCAGCCTTGCCAATATAGGGTAAACGCGGTATATTCCGACACATTAAGGACACATCGAGAAATGAAAAACTATAAAAAAAACGTATGTGTTACGTAAGTTCTGTTGCCTTCACATGACTCTCAAAACACTTCACTACACGTCAGCAACGATGAAACGTCACAAAATGTTGCCATATTTATTAAAAAGCCTTTAGAATGGAAACCTACCAAATCCCTATATTCCGTCACTTTGTGTGGCAACATCCGACACGTGGTGAGTTGTATTGCGTCAGCGCTTCAAATTTAACTGATACGTATTGCCGACATCCACGTGTTCGAATTCCGTTTGCTGTGTGAGCTGTATTGGGATACAACACGCCACACGGCTTTGAATTAGAACACTAACGAATATTGAACACTACTTAATTACGTTTTAATTAACAGCTATTAGGCTTTTAATTAAGCAAATTTCAATTTTTGTACAAAGCTTTGAACGATCTGTGTGTGTCCAATTCAAGTTGTGTCGGAATTAGTTTTCATGTGTCTAAATCCAACATCTCAACTTAATCATCTATTAATTTATTTACAACTTGAAATCAGCAAATACAAGTATACTTAAAGGATTCCTAATATATTCACAGACATATTTAAAAGTCTCAAACCATAATATTCTTCCTATAAAAACAGTTATTCACTATTTGGTAGAGCCATGTCAACTGTCAAATTTGACACATTTTTCGATGATCTCACCACGTGGCATGCATTGTCTCTCTTTGGATCTCAATATTTTCCCACTAGATGGCCAAGACCTAGTGTTTTTGCAGTATTTTGTCATGCAAATGTATGACGTCACCATTTCAACCATCAATGAACACATGGAACTAAAACAAAGCTTAATATAAAGGAAAAGCTGGAGAGGTGACGTAATTACCTACGATGTCGGAATATACCGCGTTTACCCTATGGATTTTTGAGCCCAAAGCGTCGCCAGCCATTTTAAAGATGCGTCGCCGGGTAATTTTTAATGAAAAGCCATTTACGCTGAGTAATGACAAACTATTTACAAGCCACGAACGTAGTTACAAGGTTGCATACACGTGTTACCCCAAATAACTAATTTTACCCTAAAAACAGTCCGATTGTACAGCAAGTGTCAACTGAACATGTAATAAAGCAGTCTGACCGCTCTAATGTGACCGAAACTACGCAATCAAAAAAATGTTGTTTACATTTTTTGCGGGAACTCATCGCAAATGATTTCCGGACAAGCTTCGCTGCATCGTATTCCATCCAACGCACCGGAAACCTTACTTTTTTCTAAATAGTTGGCCGAAGACTGAGAAATATATCAAATGCAAGAATTTCAATCTAAATGTGTTGGCAAGATCTGAAGGCGAAAATTTGGCTACTGAAGTGTCGCCAACGATCTTGCAATATTCATCCACTCTCTGCACAGTGGTAGACAGATAGAGATTGAGGACAAGTCAACATCTGATGGACATGTGATAGATCAAGCAATCAAGACCTCAGTATTGTAGTGGGCAGAAGCAAAGCTAATAAAAGGTCTAGCA